TATCATTTATCAGTTATCATTTATCAGTTATCATTTATCAGTTATCAGTTATCATTTATCAGTTATCAGTTATCATTTATCAGTTATCATTTATCAGTTATCAGTTATCAGTTATCATTTGTCAGTTATCATTTATCAGTTATCATTTATCAGGAAGGCAGTAAGGTAGGATTATGAATCAGGTTTAAAAGTTACAGCTCCATCAGAGCAGGACATCTCTTCCACAACATCTTGTGACAAAACCTTCAGGGTGTTCTTCTTCTAATACGTTTAGTGGTGGCTAGTAAGTAGCTTAAGGGAGCACTACTGCCACCAGGTGGTAAGACCAGTTGGATTCTAGTCCCCGCCTACAGAGCCGGTCCAGAAGTGTAAATTGAAACACAACAGACCCGAGCCGATCTGAACCGACCCGAACTGATCTGATCCGCACTGTGACAGTGGAAAAGGGGCATAACAGACAACCAGAATCTCACAGCAGAGGAGTGGTAAATCCCAGCTGACTTCCAGAGCCAGTGGCCGGACCTTTGTCCCTCCAACCGATGACAGATGAACTTTGAGGAGACTTCAGCCTCTCAGTCACCAGAACATCTGAGGCCTTGCTGGTACCATTAGCAGCTATCAGAACCATTCCTGATCTATCTACATCCTGGTAGGAGACTTTTCAATGCCTTCCTGGTGACCCTACATCAGAATAATAATATCAGATAAACTTAGCTCACCTTAGACACACTTTTAACCATTTAAAAACAAAAACCAGTCCAAAGTCTGCCTTTTAAGTTTCACTTATTTTCTCATCAATTAGACCTTTGATTCAAAGCCATTGTCTTGCATACGTCTATGCTTGGTGGTTCTTGAAGCACTGACTCCAGCTGAAGTCCACTCTCTGTGAATCTTCCCCACATTTTGGAATGAGTTTTGTTTCACCGTCCTCTCCAGGGTGCGGTTATCCCTATTGCTTTTACACTTTTTTCTACCACATCTTTCCTGCCCTACACCTCTTTATTAATGCGCTTGGACAAAGAGCTCTGTGAACAGCCAGCCTATTTAGCAATGACCTTTTGTGTCTTGCCGTCGTTGTTCAAGGTGTCAATGGTCATATTTTGGACAACTGTCAAGTCAGCAGTCTTCCCCATGATTGTGTAGCCTACAGAACTAGACTGAGACCACTTAAAGGCCTTTGCAGGTGTTTTGAGTACACTAGCTGATTAGAGTGTGGCACCAGGTGTCTTCAATTCACAATATTCTAATTTTCTAAGATACTGAAGTTGGGGTTTTCATTAGTTGTCAGTTATAATCATCAATGTTTAAAGAAAAAAAACATCTGAAATATATTGGTCTGTGTGTAATGAATGAATATAATATACAAGTTTCACTTTGAATGGAATTACTGAAATAAATCAACTTTTTATTGATATTCTAATTTTATGACTTAACATTGATTAAACATTACTTTTCGGAGAGTTCCTGGATTTTGTTCCGGCAGGATTTGGCTCAAATTAAGCACTGGTATCAAAGCATTACTTTATGAAAGGTTCATTCTAATCCATTCAGTGATTCAGGAGATATTTTGCTACCAGACAGACAGAGTTCATTCTAACAGTTTTTGATAAAGTTTTAGGCAAAAAGTTAGCACAAGGGTTACTTGGAGTAAGTTTTGTGAAAACTTTGAGATACTACTGCACCAATTTTAGCCTAATATCTGTAAAATGGATCAAGTTGGAGACATTTTTGTGTTTTCCAGGGTGAGTAGATATTTGGCAACAAAAAACATCTGCATGCACAAGAAGACACAGCTTTGGACAGTAAGAGATAAGAGAAGTGAAAACCAAAGAATAAAGCAAAGAGCTGAAAGTTTCAGAAGATTGAGGTGTAGGTTCCTGTTCGTGTTGACACTCACACTGAACTGAGCGGGCCAGACACTGAGTCGTATCTCTGGTAGCTGTGGGCGGAGCCACTGAAGTGAGTCGCTCGGCTCTCGGGGACTGGGACTGGTCCCTGGCACGACTCCCTAGTGTTCCGACTGCGAGAGCCTGATGGCTTCTTGTTCTTACCCTGAAAAGCATAAAGTGTGCACATAAGAATTTCTGACCAGATCCCAGAGGGCCAGGATTTACTGGTTTTGTGTTCAGACCTCAGAGATCCAAGGGTTCTCTGGTTCTGTGTGCAGTACCTTAAGTTTGCTACTTCGTTTTGGCTGCACAGCAATGATCTGCTGAGGTTTCTTAGCTGCAGGACAACTGAGAGGAACGTTGATGTTTTCTTTGGCCTTTATCAGGTTCAGAACCATCTGTGAACTGGTATCTCTGCAGACAGGGAATAGAAATATTGTAAAGCTCAGGTGTAGAGACTGTCATCAAAACTAAAATCATAATACAACATGTCCTGATGCATGCTCAATAATCCAGGTAGAAAAATCTAAAAAAGTTAAATCTGGTCCAGAGGACCAGATTTAACTTTTTTAGATAATACAACATGGAATAGAAAAGGATTTGTTTGGTTGTAAGTAATTAACCCTAAAGAATATACTCCATATTAACTTGTTTAAATAATTTAGAGAAACTATCCAACTTATTCCTGGGGGCTCTATTGTGTAAATGATTATGGGTACAACTTCCTGTCAGACAGAAAGTAGCAGTAAACATTGGTTAACCATGGTAGCGGAGCATGGACCGTGGTTTATTTGAAAGTGATTTGCATTCAGTTTAGCAGATAAAATACTGTTTTTGCTTTATGCACATTTGTGTAAATATGAATTTCATAAATTTCCTGGGTTGGGTGTTTTTGCAGATGATACAAGTGACCATTGCGTTATTGGTGTTATTAGGGACACTAAACTACCTTGCTCCAAGCCCAGACTAATTCAAAAAAGGGATATGAAACATTTTGGTGAACAGACCTTTGGGACCTGTTCCAATTTGATTGGCAACATATTCACCTAACTGATAATGTGAACACCGCCTGGAACTATTTTTAGAATAGTTTAATCTATTTTGTAAATAAACATGACCCTTTTCACCAGTTCAGAATAAAAGGACGAGATAGCCCCTGGTTTACTCCTGAGCTAGCTGACCTCCTACATAGGCAAGATCGGCTTTGGACATTCTGGCTCAAATACTGACTGGTTGTATTTTCAATAGCTGAGGAATAAATGTACGGCTTACACCAAAGCCGCAAAATGTAATTATTTCTTATCTCAGACTTCCAAAGATCTAAATGATCCTAAAAGATTCTGGAAAACTACCAAATCACTCTCTGGCAGCTCTCATTCATCTGACTTGCTATCACAATTTCTTGTTAACTCTGTTCCTGTGTCAAACAAGCATGATATCCTGAACTGTTGAAACAGTTCAGGATCAGGCTCCTCTCTTGTGGAACCAACGTCCATTTTCTGTCCGTGAGGCTGACACATTATCCAGTTTTAAAACTAGGCTTAAGACTTTCCTTTTTGATAAATCCTATAGTTAGGGTCGGCTTGGGTTTCCTGAGCTGTCCCTTAGTTATGCTGCTATAGGCTTAGACTGCTGGAGGACAAACTGACCACATTTTTTCACTCTGCTACTGTCTTTACTTACTCTGCTCAACCTGTTTTGTATTTGTAATTATTTTTTTTCTATTCTTAACATGTTTTTTGTCTTTCAGATACACCTGGACCTATATCTGGACCTATACCTGGATCTGCCATTCTGTGTTTGTCTGTCTCTCCTTCCTGTCCTCTCAACCAGCCGGTCAAAGCAGATGGTCTCTTGTCCTGAGCCTGGTTCTTCTGGAGGTTTCTTCCTGTTAAAGGGAGTTTTTCTTTCCACTGTTGCCACTGTGCTTGCTCAGAATGGGAGACTGCAACGAAGCCAAGATTCAACTTGTCTGCTGGATTCCTTAGATAGAGAACTTTACTAACTGACTTTTATGTGAATGTTTCTTTAAAGTGCCCTGAGACAACTTTGTTGTGATTTGGTGCTTTATAAATAAACTGAACTGAATTGAATTGAATTGTGTCTGAAGGTATAAGTAGAAGGTCTGATGCTAAATGTTGTTAGTGGTTAACAACATAAAAAAACAACATAAAACACAAAACTGATCAGTTTTGCTGTGTGTTTCCTTGACTGATGAAGCCTTCCAGATCGAAGGCAAAACGTTTCAGAAGAAAAAAAAACTGTCCAGATGACCTGACTGAAAAATGTTGGGTTGTTGGTGGTTATGCTCCACAGGTTGGATGTGACGTGAAGGAGAAAGATACAGTTTGGAAGGATCTGGATGATGTGATAGAGAATATTCCCAGGGAGGAGAGTGGTGATTGTGCTGTATGAATGGGTAAATGAGGACACAGATTGTAGTGTAAAGCGCTTTGAGTATCTAGATAAGATAGAAAGGTGCTATATAAGTACAGTCCATTTACCATTTAAAACAAAGTGCCGCTCCAGCCTTATGGCGACCGCGGGAGCTCCAGCTACTCCACACAGTTGCCATCGCAAACTTTCAAACAAATATCAAATGCTTGCTTGGATGTGGATTTTATTCTTTTTTTTTTTTTTTTTTAATCAGGCGGGAGAGAACGTGGGCCATTCGGCCCGTCTTATGTGAAAACTATGGGTTGCTGTTCTGGAGATGCCGACAGGCAGCCTGTTTAAAATGATCGATTGCAGAATTCATAGAAAAAAATATGGTTGTTCATTTGGAGATATACCCGCGGTGTAGAGCATTGATTGAGCAGCGTTTGAAGAACACTGAAAGTTTTAGATCAATCAGTTAATCTGATTCAGCCAATCTCTAAACTCTGCATTTTAGCCAAGGTTCTAGAAAAACTGATCAACTCTCAAATCAAAAATGACCTGGACTCATTTAACATCTTACCTCTCCATCAATCTGGTTTCAGGAAACAACACAGCACAACCACTGCTTCACTGAAGGTTCTTAATGACGTTGTTGAAGCACTGGATGCTAAGGATTATTGGGCTGCACTTTTCTTAGACCTGTCTAAAGATTCTGACACTGTGGATCAGAACATCTTGTGTCATAAACTCTCAGAAACTGGTTTCTCAGAACACACCATTGGTTGGTTCTCTAACTATCTCTCAGACCGGAGGCAATGTGTTCAACATAATGGTACTTCCTCCAGTAATTTAACAGTCAACAATGGTGTACCACAAGGCTCAGTCTTAGGACCCACCCTCTTTACAATCTACATACATAATGTAGATGAAAACATCCCTAATGCATCCATACATTTCTATGCTGATGACACAGTTGTTTATTGTCGAGCTAAAACAGTTGATAAGGTTTTCCAGCTTTTGAAATCTGCATTCAACATCATCCAGTCTGATTTGTTTCACCTCAAACTTGTCCTAAATGCCGACAAAACCAAAGGGATGCTTTTTTCAAATAGGAAGTTGGTCCCAGCAGTTCTTCCTCCGATTTTATCCTCAAATGGTGTCCTGATTGAATTTGTTGATTCCTATAAATATTTGGGTATCTTGGTCGACTCACATCTTTCTTTTAAGCTCCATGTGGAAAACTTGGTAAAGAAACTGAAAGTTAAACTGGGTTTCTTTTTCAGAAACAGATCCTGTCTAACTCTGAATGTTAGGAAACACCTTGTATCTGTGACTTTCCTTCCCTCCATTGATTACGGTGACATTATTTACATGAACGCTCCTACAAGAACCCTGCAGATGTTGGATGCTGTCTATCATGGTGCACTAAGATTCATAACTGGCTGTGATTATCGTACCCACCACTGCACCCAGTATTCACTGGTTAACTGGACATCATTAACTTCATGCAGACTCTCTCAATGGTTCATCTTCATCTTTAAATCACTTCTTGGTCTGCTGCCTTCATACATCTCCTCCTACATGTCTCTGTGTGAGTGCAGCTACGGAGTGCGCTCTCAGGACATTTTACCTGCAGTGTTCCCTCAGTGAGGACTGAACTAGGCAAGAGGGCCTTCTCCTACTCCGCTCCTGTTTCCTGGAATACCTTACAAAAAGATTTGAAGCTCTCGACCTTTGACCTCTCTAAGTGGTTTTAAGAATCTGTTGGACTCCTGGCAGGGACCAATGCAGACATGTTCCTGTTTTTAGTTTTTTACATTCACCTTAGAATCTAGCTGTTTTTTGTTATCTTTTTTAGCCATCCTATTTGTTTAAAAAAACAAACAAAAAAAAAACTGGAGTATGATGTTTTATAACTGTTTATTGTTGTCGCTGTTGTCCATTGTTGTCATCATTCTTTGTTGGAGAAATGAGGAAATTATGTTGTTCAGAAGATCATGTCGTAAGGTAGAGCGTCTGTGGAAATCTACAAAACTTGAAGTCCACAGACTCCACTTAAAGGAGCTGATCTCAACTCTAAATGAAATGATTAAACAGGCCAGGTCTGCATATTTTTCTAATTTTGTGAGTATGAACAAGAAAAATCCTAAAGTCTTGTTTGATCCCATTAATAATATGGTTTCACCTTCACTCCCTCTGGTGCCTGTATTCACATTAGATGACTGCAATAGATTTTTAAATTATTTTGTGGAAAAGGTTGACAACATCAGGGCAAGTGTTAAATCAGCTCTTGGTGTCACCCCCAGTTCTGTCCCTACAGTGAGCCCCTGGTCTTCATTTTCACCTGTCACCTTAGAGGATGTGAAGGTTGTTCTAAAATGATCAAACCTTCTTCCTGCGTGCTAGATGTTGTACCCACATCACTGTTTTTAAAGGTGTCTGATATTTTCAGCCCCCATGTGGCAGAATTAATTAACATCTCTCTTTCAACCGGGTCAGTTCCAAGTTTTTTGAAACAAACGATTTTAAACCCGATCTTGAAAAAGCACAACTTGGACCCCACTGAGCTCTGCAACTACAGGCCAATATCAAAACTGCCTTTTCTTGCCAAAATTCTGGAGAAGTTAGTGGTGTTGGATTTGATATCTTTTATATCTTTTTATATCTTTTGACAAGCCTTCACATTTCTCTGATGATGTAAAATGATGCATTTTCTACAAGGTGTGTGCGTGTCTTAATTCAAGGGTTTGAACTATATTTACAGGCCTGCATTAATTCTAAAGTGTTTACTATGTTTTATATACAATCTCACAATTGCTAAGGATAATCATACACTAATTACTTCATGTTATATATAATCTCACAAGTGCTAAGGATAATCATACAAGTTCACATTTGATATAATTCTGAGGGAAACAGAGACAGGTAAGACACTTGTTTGTGCAGCAAGAAACGATCCTTCTTTGTTCTCTGAGTAGAGCAGCTGAGAGTTGAGGGCCCAGCAATGTGACACACTGCTCACACATTGATTAACA